AAAAAAAAAAAAAAGAAGTGGAAAGGGTGGTTGGGGAGGGGGCGGGGCACAGTGGCTCCCATCTGTAATCCCAGCACTTTGGGAGGCTGAAGCAGGAGGATCACTTGAGGCCAGGAGTTTGAGACTAGCTGAGAAACCTAGCAAGACCCTATCTCTATAAAAATAATTTGAAAAATAGAAAGGTAGAGGGAGCAGCATGGACTGAACTGAGGGTGGGGTCCATGCATCCATCTAGCCACTTAGTGAAATCCTAGGGGCTCCAGGGACCAAGTAACCCTAAGGCTCTCCACTCCTCTCCCTCCCCAGGTGGCTCCTAGAGGTCAATGCATCCCCATCACTGACAGCCAGCAGCCAGGAAGACTATGAACTCAAGACCTGTCTCCTGGAAGATACCCTGCATGTCGTGGACATGGAAGCAAGGTGAGGGAGGGTAGCCTTGATCACATGTCCTTGTACATGACAACTGGGGCTCCCACCAAGGAAGAGGGGGAGCTTAGAACATTGGGGCCTGAGTGGCCTTCAGTGATGGCTCTGGCCTGCCTCATCACTTTATAGATGGAGAAGCTGAGATGTCCATGGAGGGCCAGGTCCTGCCATGGACTTGGCCTCTCCAGGGCAGAGCAGGGCCAACTATAGCTTTCTGAGACAGTCCAGCAGGATTTCCTCGAATCCTCCTGACTGTGAGGCTCTGGACTAGTCCCATCACCTTCCTGAGCCTCAGCTTCCTCATCTGTAAAATAGGAAATACCTCTGAGTTGTTAATTTACAAAGATAATTTACTATCTAGTGCCTAGCTCATAGTAAGTGCTCAATACAAGACTATCATTATAACAATGTGCAATAGAAGAAAAAAAGCCCAGAGCTACTTTGAGAATGGGCGATCCAGGTGCTCAGTGGTGGCTGGTCTGTTTGTTTCTCTCTCCCTCCTCTCCTCCTCTCTCTCTCCCTCCCTTCTTCCTCTTTCCTATGTATTAGCTTTTCCCCAGTTTTCTCCAATTATTCCAGCAGAAGCTTGAGGGCAGCTTCTCCTTGCTGGGAACTGGGATACATGCCCATTGCTGAATCATTCATTGTGACTCTGCTTGACCAGGCATAGTTCTTGTGCCCACCTCCTAGGGAGTGGGGTCAACCCCACATGAGCCATTGGTAAAGGAGAGATGAATGATTCTCAAAGGTACCCTTGGACTGGAAGAAGGTGAAATGGATGCTGAGCAAGCAGCAACCTCAGGTATCCACTATTCCTACCATCACCTATTCATTCAACAAATATTTGAGCCCTGCTCTGTACCAGGCCCTGTGCCATACCCTGCTGACATAGGAACATGACAGAACCAGTTCCTGCCTTTATGGAGTTTAAGGTCTGAGGAGGAAAGGAGACTAAACCAGAAATCACAAATAGAGGCACATGGCCAGACAAAGTGGCTCATGCCTGTAATCCTAGCACTTCGGGAGGCCGAGGCAGGCAGATCACTTGAGGTCAGGAGTTTGAGACCATCCTGGCCAACATGGTGAAACCCTGTCTCTATTAAAAATACAAAATAATCATTGTGAAGCAGAATTCATCAGAGGAAAAAAAAGAAAAAAAAAAAAATTAGCTGGGTGTGGTGGTGCGCACCTGTAGTCCCAGCTACTTGGGAGGCTGAGACAGGAGAATCACTTGAACCTGGGAGGCAGAAGTTGCAGGGAGCCGAGATCATGCTATTGCACTCCAGCCTGGGCAACAGAGAGAGACTCCGTCAGAAAACAAAAAAACAGGGACAAGTTACCAAGAGCAAGTAGGAGGAACCTTGGGGGGAAAAATGGGAACAAGCCCCTCGGAGATTTACATAGGTGCCTGGGAAACAGCCAATGAATGACTGGGAAAAAGGACTTCTGATGGGAGGGACATCAGTGAGGCTCAGGGAGGGATCAGGGACCCCACTTGGGTCTTAGGGCCCCCGCCAGGTGCACCTTCATTAACCCCATGTGCCTCCTTCCTGTCCAGGCTCACGGGAAGGGAGAAGCGAGTCGGGGGCTTTGACCTCATGTGGAATGATGGCCCGGTTAGCAGAGAGGAGGGGCCTCCTGACCTGTCGGGAACAGGAAACTTTGTGACCAACACACACCTCGGTATGTAGGGTCAGGTGGGGATTGGGCACAAGGGATGGGTCATGGGAGGTACCAGGTAGTCTAGGAGGCAGCTTGGCATAGTGGTTAGATTGTTTGAATTCAATCTGCAACTTACCAGCTGTGTCACCTTGGGCAAGGGTGACACAGCTGTTCCTCATTTGTAAAGTTGGTTTCTAAAAAGTGAAAACTCTTCCTGATTATAAAAAAAGTATTCTCACTCATTGTAGAATATTTGAAAACTAAAGAAAGAAATTAAAAAAACATCCAGACATAACCATCTTTAACAATCTGGTGTATTTCCTTCCAGTTCTTAAAAAATACATATATTCATACTTTTTTTTACAAAATTGGCATTGGGCTAGAGTTTCGAATCCCACTTTCCCACGTGGCATTTTTCATTCAAGCATATTAATAAGAGCCTCCATCTTGAATGCACTTTTTGGTCCAGTCCAGATGAAATATTTTATATACATTATCTCATTTTATCTTTAAGCAGCTTTCACTGTAATTTTACAGATGAGGAAATGATCTCCAGGTGCTGTGTAACTTGCTGAATGAAGGTCTTGGTCAGAAGCAGCGAGCCACGCTACAAACTTCCATCTGCCTGGCTCCAAAACCTGAGTGCTTGACCGCTAGACTGTCCTGCCTCTTGGCAGAGTTAAAAAAAAATTACCATATGGCTGCAAAATATTTCAGTTTGTGCATATTCTAAAATTTACTAAACCAATTTCTTATGATTGGACATTTAGCACAATTGCATGTTTTTTTTATAACTAATACCATGATGAACACCCTTTCACATTAAGCTCAGCTGAAATTCTGGCCATTTCCTGAGGACAGATTCCTAGAAGTAGAATTATTGGGCCAAAGGGATGGGCTTATTACAACCAAATCGCTTTCCAGAAAGAGTATATGAATTTGTCAGATTTGAATTTTTAGAAAAAAATCTGTGCCAACTGGCGAGGCAAAACATACTGACTCATTGTTGTTTTATGTGCAGTCCATTGATTACTGGTGAGGTTTCCATTTTTTTGTATTTGCATTTCTTCTTTTGTCCATACTTTTTCCATTTTTCTATGGGCTGTTTAGTTTTCTAAATGTATAAGCCTTCGAATGACTAAATAACACTCTTCAAGCTTATTTAATGTGCATACAATCACCTGGAAACCTTGTTAAAACACAGATTGGGACTCTGTAGTTCTAGGGTGGGGCCTATGATGGTATTTCTAAGTTCCTGTGTGATGCTCTATTGATTAACCATTGCTGTGTAACAAGCCCTCCCAAACCTAGCAGCTTAAAACAACTACTTTATTTGCTGGTGCTTCTTCAGGTCTCTGCTGGGGTCACTTATAGGGCTGCAGGCACCTGGCAGATTTACTGAGACTTGATGGCGTACCACAGCCTCATTCATAGGTGTGGAGTTGATACTGGCTGTCAGCTGGGCCTCTCTTTCCTCGTGGCCAGTCATCTTCCAACAGTCTAGCCCTGGCTTCACGTGGTAGACTCGGGGTTCTAAGGCAAGAAGACACTGCAAAGCCTTTTGCGTCCCAGACTTAGAAGGTCCCGTAAGTCATTCTGCTACAGTCAAAGCAACTTTCTGGTCTAGCCCAGTCACTAGGTAAGAAAATAGACTCCACCTGTTGATGAGAGGAGCAGCCAAGTCACGTTGCAGAGGTGTGCATATAGGAATGGAATTTTTGCAGCCATCTTTGCTAACAGTGCATCTCAGATATCAATGCACGTTAGTTCCTGGACCCCCATTCGAGTAGCAAAGATGGAGAGCGGCGGTTCTCTACCATGGCCACATATTGGAATCACCTGGGAGCTTTAAAGACTACTGATGCCTGCCAGATAAAGCTATGGTTGGTGTGGGCATCAGTAGCTTTTAAAGCTTCCAGGTGATTCCAATATGCAGCCCAAGTTGAGAGCCACTGTTTATTTTTTTAGAGACAGCATCTTGCTGTGTCACCCTGGGTGGAGTGCAGTATGCGATCATAGCTCACTGCAACTAACCTCAAACTCCCAGGCTCAAGCAATCTTCCTGCCTCAGCCTCCCAAGTAGCTAGGTCTACAGGCACACACCCCACCTGGCTAATTTTGTGTGTGGGTGTTTTTCCCATAGAGACAAAGTCTCGCTATGTTGACCGGGCTAGGACAGCCAGTGATTTTAGAAGTCTCTAGAACTATTTCTGTTTCAGGTGTTTGGGTCCATGGTGATAAACACAAGGGTAGCTGGCTAGGAAGAGTACTGATGAATTGAGTTAGGGAAGGGTTCAGGGACATCCAGGCGAAAGGGTCAGCAGATAACTCAGAGATGAGGCTAGAATTCCAAGAAGTTTGCACTGGATGAGAATTGGGAGTTATGAATGAGCGAAATACAGTTTAAGTTAGGGCTGCATGGAATTCACTCTGGAAAATCACCAGGATGTGCACAGTAAGGTCTCAGCTCAGTGAATGGCTGAGTGCGTGCCTGGGAAGCAGGGACAAGTTTGGGGAGGATGTGAAACAGTCCCAGGTCAGTAGTAGTGGCCACAGAGATTCAGTCATTCAAGCAGCATTTCTGAGTGCCATCAATGTACCTGGCATGAGATTAAATGACCACAGAGTCACCTCAAGGATCAGCTGAGAGCAAACAGCCAACATGTAGCACCATGAACGTCCTGGGAGAACGTCCTGGGAGAACGTCTCAGCAGCTCATGGCAGCTTCAGCACGGACTGCCTGGGACATACTTCCATGAGGTTGTGGGCCACATGTGGCGAAAACTCATCTCTTAGCCCGCTGTGCCTGGCACGTGGGTTGGGTAAGGGAAGAAAGCTGACAGTACTGGGCAGCTCTGAGGTACCAGGCACTGTGCTAGTTTTAAATGCATTTTCACTGAGCAAAGCCAGGAGGAGCGGCAGTGTGGGGTAGTGGTTAAGAGTGTGGCTCTGGCACCAGGTAGCCTGGGTTCAAATGATTTAACCTCTCCGAGCCCGTTTTCTCTTCTACACATCATTCCCATGAGGGCAAAACAAATCCATCCACATTCAGCATCTGGAGCAGTCCCTGGCTTGAGGTAAGCCCCCAGTCCTCATGTTCACTCCATAAGGTGGGCAGTAGTATCCTGGTTTACAGATGAGAAGACTGAGGCTGAAAAGGGTAAATGATCTGCTTGAGGGCCACGGCAGTTCAGGAATGGAGCCAGAGTATAAAACACAGGCTGTGGGTGATTGCCCAACTCCTGCTGTCCCCTCTTACCAGCAGGGAATGGGGGCACTCCATTTCTCCCAAGCACAGGTCATTCCAGTCAACACCCCACTTCCTTTCCAGGCTGCGTCAACGATCGGAAAAAACAGCTGAGGCAGCTCTTCTGCTCCCTTCAAGTCCAGAAGAAAGCTTCCAATTGATCCCCAGCTGCCAGAAGGAAATCAGCCTTGGCAGGTACCACCCAGGCCTCTCCCCGACTCCCAGATCCCAGCACCTCACAGCACTCGCCTCCCCACCTCCAGCCTGGCACCAGCTTTGCTGGCTTAGCAGCTGCAGCTTCCTACTTGAATTAGGCCCCTTGGATACCTCCAGCCCGTCCCCAGGCATCTTTGCACCAGGAGACAGCCAATCCCTGGGACTGGAGGGGTTTTAATCTTGACTGACTTGGCAACTGGGCCTGAAGAGAACAAATACAGTTCTGCTACCCCTGAGAGATCATATCTAATAAATAAGCACAAGCCATACTTGGAGTCACTGGGCCCCAGGCCTGGCTCAGGGGATACTGTTGGCTGGAGCCAAGTCCTCCTGGCTTTGACATTTGGATGCCTCTCAAGTCAATGTTGAAAAGGTCCTTTAGGAGCTAGAGTTTGGCGGTTAAGGAACTTGTCTTTAAGCTGTGCTTGCAAAGCGAGCAGTAGATGATGTATTTATTGGGGATCTGGGGAAGTACTGAGCCCTAAACACAGCCTCTCCTTGCAATACCCTGACCATCATCTGAAAAACAGTGGGCCAGAATATCCCCATTTCTCGGACAAGACAGACCAGGAAGGCAGAGCTCAGCAAGAGTCTCTGCAAAGGCGCATTTATCTAAGTCAGAGGAGTGACTTAAATGCTTCTCTTCACCTTGTTTGAGATTGGGAGCTGAGCCAGAAACCAGAAGACCTTGGGCTCATGGGCAATACAGCCTGGGAGATGAGAGTGAGTAAAAACCTCTGCATTTTCACATCCTACATTCCTAAGCCTCCTTTTGACTTAAGAGGGTTGCAACGAGTTGGGGCTGATGAACTGCTCCAGGGGGATTCACTCACTCCCTCTACCACTCACCCTGCTTCAGAGTAGTTTCTCTGGCTGCACATGGTGGAATGCAACTGCCTAGGGTAAGCCAAAAGGGAAGATTTTTAGAAAGAAAATACTGGCAAATCCAAGAAATAAACCAGCCGACTTTAGGAAGGCCAGAAGCCAGGCTACTCTGGACCTTCTGCCTTCAGAGCATGAGGATTTCTCCCATCCATCCTTGTGACTGAGGCAAACCCAGGCAGGCCCAGGCATGGGCTCCAGGTTCCCTACTTCCAGGAGAAGGAATGCGATTGGCTCTCTTTGGCCCAGCACCCACCCTGCCAGGCAGGAAGGGGCAATTTTCCAATGGTGAAATTGTGAACCAGGCAGTCACACTGGAGAACATCTAGCAAGGTGAATTCTCTAACTCCCTACTTTTACATTTTAAAATAAGCATTATATTCATATGGTTTAAAATGCAAAATTTACAAAAGAGTTTAGGGTGACATCTCCCCTCCCACCTCTGTGCCCCAACCCTGCAGGTGCTGTTCTGAGGGAATCACATTGCGTTTGCACACACATTATTAGCTTCTAAGGCACCTACCTTCCCCTTGCTTTTCTCACTTGATGTGTCTTGCAGCTTGTTCCTTATTCTTGATTGTAGTTGTATGGTACTCCCCTACCTGGAGCTACTGATTCCTTTAACTAGTCCCCTGTGGATGGACGTAGTTGGGTTCCAGTTCCACCCGCCTACTTCTTAAAGAGATTACAGGGAAAACACACAGTAATTTCTAATCAACTTCACAACCTGAATGTCTAGCTTCTTCTGAAAAAAATGTAAGAACTAGCCATGACAGCCTGTTTCTACGTAACTATGAGCCCAAGCAAAGGAGCGAGGGGACCAGGAGAGGTGTGCCCCTGCCATGCTGCCATTTGTTGTCACCTGCCTGTTAAACCACAGGTTCATTTCAAGGTAAGAACCGAAGGTAAGAACCACATTCATAGGTGGTATTCTAAATGGAGCAGCGTGCCCTTAGTGAAGGACTAGATGAGGCAAATAAAGACTAGTTGCTGTTATTTATTCATTCAGCTAACCTTTATTGAGCCCTTAATGAACACACGAGTTCTGACTTCACGGCAATTCATACCACTGAAGGCAGACAGTACTAAGCAGCACTGGCCAGGCCCCACTTTCAGAGGGGGTGGAGGGGCACTCTTGACATGTGACACAAGGCAGGAGGAGTACCTACTCACGCAGGCCTGGTGCAGGACTCTGCAGGGCCCTCCTGACGAAAGAGTGGCCACAAAGGGCTGCTAGGCAGCACCTACTCTTGGAATCAAGCAGGGAAAAAGGGCAGAAATGGAGCTGGCAGCCATCTGTGGGGCAGACACACAGGTGGCTGTGGTAAGCCACAAAGCATCAAGATTCTGTTCTTCATTCAGCATCCACCCCAAAGCCTCCTGCTTTATTCCCATCTCATGGCACCTGCCTGAAAACCTCTCTCCCTTCTGAGATGAATGCTGGAATGAAGCTCCACTCTGCCCCCTCCCTCCCTCCCTCCCTCCCTCCCTCCTTCCCTCCCTCCCTCCTTCCCTGCTCAGGGTCCTTACAGCAGGCCATTGTTGAGAAGTGCCTGCTGCAGTCATTCACACACCCCCACAGCCATGGCTCCACACACCCACTGGTGGCTGCCAGGGCCCATCAATAGGTCTTGTGTGCACTGTGCCCTGGTGTACAGGTCTAGCAGCCAGACAGGCTGAGGGTTCCCTCCTGTCACAGAGCAGCCAAGCACTACAGACAAAGAGGTTTTCATGGCCAGATTCCTGATGCCTGTCCCCTTACAGGGCAGATCCTGTCCTTACAGGTGTCAAGGTTGGAGGGTCCTCCATGACCCTGTGGGGGTTGCTGGTCACTGGTCCCCCATCTTGGTTCTTGAGTCTCATCCTTTCAAGATGACCTTGAGAGCTTTAAGCTCATCTTGGTTGAGGGGGTTCAAGTTAAAACCCTTCAGCTCTGGTTTGCCTAGGAGAGAAGATGATCCATCAGCATGTCGGGCCTCCTGCTGGCTCTGGAGCCAGGCCCAGGAAAGGGGCTGACACTGCACTAACGCTGCCAAACTCGGCCTGGAGGTCTGGCAGGGATGGGCCTCCAATTCTGCAACGTACTGGATGAGGCATCACCACCACTCCTGTGTCACCAAGAGCCTGCAAAGTCATGACTCTGCTGCCCAAACAGATCCAGGTTTTTCCAAGACCTGTGACAAATTTGGAGTGCCTGGGTTTATCAGGAATTTCAGCTCTGACCTCAATCACCTCACTGGACTTCTGAATTTCCTCAGTCAGAGCTATCTGATCCCCATGCCATGCCCTGACATATAACGTGAGATCACCCCAAGCGGATCCCGGGACCTGAAAAGGAAGCTGTGACAGGAGCAGGACTCTCTTTAAATCCCCTGTCCATTCTGTCCCCTGGCAGCTATAACCAACCACTGCACACACCTCCAGGGCCACTCACAGGCTGCCTCGGCCAATGCCCACCTCTGAGGGTCGGGCTTCTCATCCCTGCCCTTCAAAGTCCATGCTGATGACTCTCTCCCCTCCTAGTCTCCAGTCCCTGCTAAGCCAATACCTTGGGCTTCAAAAAGGCGGTTGACCTTCACTTTAAGTTGTTTCCGGAGTTTTTCTATTTCTTTATCCAGATGATCTTGATCTGAAAAAAAGAGGGAGGCAAGCATAAGATAAGATCGTACCAGACAGACTGGACCCAGGAGTAGAGCTGCCAGCCTCTCCCCAGCAAAGTGTATAGCTTTCAGGAAGGAAAAGGGGTATCAGAGACCAACTGAGGAAGGATAAAGGCTAGAAGGGCCATGACCTGCTCAGGACCACTCAAGAGAGCCCAGGACACAGCAGTCCTGACTCTCACACTGCCCTGTTTTGCATTATGCAAAGTACCTTGGGGTGGCCAGTAGATAGAGAAGGCAACATGAAGATTTTGGCCACCCTCCCACAATGACGTTATGTACAATTCAAATGCATAAACAAAGCGTCTCTAGATCCAGCCCACCCTAGATGGCTGCAAAATGGATGCCTAAGGAATTTCACAAACCCAAGTCCATCAAGGTGAGGGGGTTTTAGAAAAACATGATTGTGTAAACATGTGACCTAAACAATCGACATGCAAGCCTAATGGTCAAGCTTAATTAGCCACTGTGAGGAGAAAAGCGTCTCCTAGTGCCATGGACTGCCCTGAGAAGAGTCAGTGTGATGACAGAGGTGGCTATCAAAGCTTGACTGACCAATCGACTGAAGTCACCCAGCCAATTCCACCTGCTCACCAGTGACACTCTGGCTACTCTGTCTTCCCCATAGACTCCTTCTGGGGGGAGAAATGCTGAATGGCCAAGCCTTATAACCTGGTTCTGTTTCTCATTGTCAATGAGTAACCCCAGTGTCCATGAGCTTGTTTAGCCTATGTTGATCCCCAAGAAACCTGATGATGTCCCAGAACTCCTCTAGGTACAGTGAAAAGATCACATTTGGGGACCAAAAGAGTCAACAAGATCCTGAACCCAGGCAAGGGACCCCTCTCAAAGCCACTCTCCAGCTCACCATCAAAGGCAGTTTCATTTTCTAACTATAATATTAGTGTATTTTTTCAACACAACAGCTGGAAACTTCTCCAGCTTCCTCTGTTAGCAGTTTTATGTCATTGGCTGGGAACAGGCATGTAATCCCAGCACTTTGGGAGGCCAAAGTGGGCGGATCACCCGATTAGAGACCAGCTTGGCCAACATAGTGAAATTCCATCTTTACTAAAAAAAACAAAAATTAGCCAGGCATGGTGGCATGTGCCTGTAATTCTAGCTAATCAGGAGGATGAGACAAGAGAATTGCTTGCACCTGGGAGGTGGAGTTTGCAATGAGCCAACAAAGTGCCATGGCACTCCAGCCTGGGCAACAGAGCAAGACTCTGTCTCAAGGGGAAAAAAAAGTTTTATTTCATGAGGTATGAAGACGCCCTGTCTTAAGGGACTGAGGCAACCTTGCTTGTCTTTTTGGCCATTTTCAAGGTTATAGAAGAAAAAATATGTGTAGCCTGTTCTTTTTCTAGCCAAGAATCCATTTGTAGCCTGACTCTTGCTTTTAAGATGCTTTTCCAAAGAGCTTCCAGATTATGGTTGTGGAAATTGAGTACACTAAGTGCCCAGGCTATGGCAGACCCTAGAGGTTCCATTTTCAACCCAGTCTATATTGCAGGGCACATGAAAAAGAAAAGCTCACTCTCCCAGGCTCCCTTGCAGCTATGGGTGACCATGTGACCTAGTTCTAGCCAATGAATCTTGACAGAAGACCCTGAGGAGATGGTCTTACTTCCAAAATAGAAGGCAAAGCTATATGTGTGAAAGCTTTCTCTCTTTCCTCCAGCCTGGCACGAGGACATGAGGCTTGCAACAATCAAACAACCACCAGGAGAATATGCTAAGGTGCCACTGCTGGGCAGCTATGCCAGGACTGGACTACATACCTCTGGACAACTTCTTTCACAAGAGTAAAAGAAGCATATCTCCTTGAGCCTCTATTTGTTGGGTTTTGTTATTTGCAGCCCAACTGATTCCTCACTAATAAGCATGCACTATGCTAAGCACACATATTGTTTTATCTCAACTTCACAACTATGCTACACAGATGCATCCCCATCTTAGAGATGAGGAAATAACCCACAGCAGTCTAAACCCTGTAACAGAGCAGCTTCTCCTCAAGAGGAGAAGCCTGAAGCCTAACTCCCTGTTCTGGGTTAAGACCAAAGCTGGTGTGAGAGGCAGCACACCCCTGACCCATCCCCAGGAGGCCTTACCTTTTTCAATCATTTCCTTTGTTTCAGGATGAGGCATCTTGATAAACATGCTCCCGAAGCAAACCATCACATCTTCTGAAAGAGCAAATGGTAATTCCTTCAGCAATTTGTTTTTCAGTACCTATTATCGGCCAGGCATTGTTTTAGATGCAGAGAACACAGCAGATCAAGACAAAGTTCCTGCCCTCTTGGAGCTTGTTATAGTGGAGGAGAGAGAATAAACAGATACGGTTTGTCAGACCTTGATTAAAGGGCTATAGAGAAAACTAAAGCAGGCTAAGATGGCTAGGGAATGCCAGAGTAGGGGAGGAACTTGTTACTCATACCAGGTAGTCCAAGAAGGCCTTTCTAAGATTATGTGATATCTACATAGAGACCCAAGGAAAGTGAGAATGTGAGCCCTGCAGACATCTGGGGAAAGAGTGAGCCAAACAAAGGAAACAGGAACAGCAAAGATCAGTAGTGTGCTTAGGGTGTTCGGAACAGCAAGTGGGGGTACAGTGGCTCACGCCTGTAATCCAGCACTTTGGGAGGCGAAGGCAGGCGATCACTTGAGGACAGGTGTTCAAGACTGGCCTGGCCAACATGGCAAAACCCTGTATCTATTAAAAATACAAAAATTAGCTGGGTGTGGTGGCACACGCCTGTAATCCCAGCTACTCAGGAGGCTGAGGCATGAGAATCACTTGAACCCTGGAAACAGAGGTTGCAGTGAGCCAGGGTCATGCCACTACACTCCAGCCTGGGTGACAGAGCAAGACTCTGTCTCCAAAAAAACCACCAAAGAGACCTGTGTGGGTGAAGTCATAAATGAGGGGGAGGGTAGAGATGATATTGACACACTCATGGACTCAATGGGGGCTGGATTACTCAGTCTTGTAGAACCTCTGGATTTTACTCGGGTGAGATGAGAAGTAACTGGAAGATTCTGCATACTCCAGTGCACTTTCAACAAAATGTAAACTTCCTCCCTCAGCCCCTAAGTCCTTTCATTATGGCCTGGTCTCTGCCTCTCTCTCCAGCCATACTTACCCTCCCCATTTGCTTCCTCTGCCACAGCCACCTGGCCTCATCTAAAGGGTCCGATTCTTCTGGATATATATTCTCAATACCCACCCCAAGTCCAATTCCGTCTTTGGCTTTCTTACAATTTTCAATAATGCATTTTACGTTGTTTTCCTCATCTGTAAAGCACAAGCGCAGGAACCATCACTTTTTTACACCCTCAGCACTCTCTCAGTGTCTGCCATTGTCAATGAGCCAGGAGCCAACGACCTGTCACTGAGCAGCCGAAATCCTGAACCACAGTCTGTGCCAGAACTGCAAAACTTGCTCCCCCATCTCCACAGACTGTTTCAATTTCCCACAAGGCTGTTACACAGCTGTGGCCTCCTGCCTGATCTCTATCACGGCAAGGTGTAAAGGCCTTAAAGGAAAACAGAAGAGGCCTCCAGGGCTGCATTGAGAAAATTTCAACTTACCAGAGAGGCTGAGATCCTTCTGCAGGGCCCTCAAGCCCTCTCGATTCTGATTCCTTTTAGTGTCCAGGTCCACAATCTGAAAACCACGGGGACAGGAGGGAACTGTTATCTCTTGCCCCAAGCTGTCACTTCAGACAAGGGCTGCAGAGACAATGCATTATTCCCGAGTTATTTCCAATGTCCTACCTAAAATGGATTGATGTGTGAATGTATTTCTTCTCTCACTCGGCTTCCTGGTCCTTAAAGACAATGCTTTGTGCAATTGCCCTCTCCCCAGAGAAGATGCTAGGAATCCATGTGCTGACTAAATGGGAAATTCTGTACTACTGATTCAAACTTTAGGGCCTATGAGAATCACCAGGGGAGTGGAAACCCTTCACCTACACACTGATTAAGCAGGCCTGATGTCTATTTTTGGACAAACTTCTCCAGCTGGTTCTGACCTAGTAATATGAGAAACCCAACAATACTAGATTGGAACAGCAGAAGTGGGGGCACTGAGACAGTGGTAACACCACAACAGTTACTAAGGAAGTGAGGCAGTAGTACAGTATGCTGCACGAGAGTGCTGGTTCTGGAGCTGGAATACCCAGGTTCGAATCCTGCTGTCTGCTTCAAGCTGTGTAATGTCACCTTCTATTTACTCCTCGGCAAAATGGAGCTACCAACAGTACCTACCTCACAGGTTACTGAGCTCGCAATTAAGTGACTTAATACAGTACCTGGCACATACTAAGCAGCTGATAATCGTTAACTGCTCTCATTAGTCTCATCCAGCACACCCGGATCCAGCCTTTAATTTGACAGGCTCTTGCCCAAGTTTTCCCCTTCTCAGTAAATACCTGAGCTTTCTAACTAGGGATGAGAGGGAGTCATGACTCCCCCGGCTCCCTCACCCCTTTACACAGCCGCTATCACGGCCTACTGAGTCTGTCTCCAAAATACATTTCTGACCCATTCACTTCTCTCCACCACCACTACCTAGTCCAAATCCATCTCTGGTCTGGACCATAGCAATGACCCTTCACCCATCTCCCTGCCTCCACCCTTGTCCGCCTATATTGTGTATTCCACCCGGGAACCAGAGGGATCCATTTAAAACGTAAATCCAATGACGTCACCCTCCTTCCCCCAGGAACTCCCTTCAAAAACTTGGCACTTAAATTAGACCCTGACCCAAACTCCCCACAAGGCACCCCATAAACAGGGCACCACCTTAACCGACGTCCCCATCCCTGGCCGGTCACAAGGCTCCCCCAAGCCTCTTTTCGGTTCCTCCTCTCCCCTAAGGGCCTCAGGGGGCCGGGAAGTGCATTTTGAAACAGGTGCTCAGGGAAACGGCCCAGAGAGTGATGGGTCGGGATCCGGAGAGCACGGTAAGAGGCAGAGAGAGGATGAAGGAAGAGGAATACCCAGCACTGCGCAGGCGCTCACTTAGTAGCGGCCGAAAATTTCTTGGCCCACATCTGTCGCCTCGGGATAGTTAACCGCCTGTCCCGGTGAACTCCCCGCAACCCCGCGCGCATTCCGACGGCGCCAGCCGCCTGGCCCCAGAGCCGCGGACGGGCCTCTCACCTGCCGCTTGTCCGCCAGCACCTCTTCGGCGAGCTCCTCAACCTCTACCAAGTATCGCAGTACTCGCTCAGCCTCGGGTGACAGCATAGCGCCCACCAACTCCACCTACGACTCTCGCGCGACCCTTCTCTCACTCCACTGGGGTGGCGCGTCGGCCTCCGCTGCGCATGCGCCGCTCTCACGGGATTTCCGGAGCGCCTGCGCATTTAAAAGAACGGTGGCGCGCAGGCTCTAACGCACGTGCGTCAGCGGCCGTGAGAGGCGGGGTCTAGCTTTAGCGGGGCGGGGTTGGAGCGCCCTCTGCAGGCTCGGAGAGCTCAGTCGGCGGGCTGCTTTTGACCCCTTCCTCCCTCGGTTCATGTTTCTTGAGCACTTACTATGCGCCAAGCAGTTTTAGGGACTTGGGATGCAGCAGTGAACACAGCAAAATCCCTGCCCTCATGGAACTTCATCCTAGTGGTAAACACCGACAATTAATGGCAAAACAGTTATATACCATGGCACGTCGTGATTAGGACCTAGGAAATATCATTCTTCCCCTAAGAAACACCAAGAAGGCCCATGTGGCAGTGTGATTAATGTTTAATCTCTGACACTTTCAGTTTCTAATTTATAAAAAGGGTGTGAATAAAAATCCTCCTCAGTGTCTCTTCACAGGATCGGAAGGAAGCAGGAATCGGCTGGGCGCAGTGGCTCACACCTGTAATCCCAGCACTTTGGAAGGCCAAGGCAGGGTTCACTTAAGCCCAGGAGTTAGAGACCAGCTTGGGTAACACGGTAAAATACCGTTTCTACTAAAAATACAAAAAAAAAAAAAAAAAAATTAGCTGGGCGCGGTGGGGCATGCCTGTTGGTCCCAGCTATTCAGGAGGCTGAGGTGGGAGGAGCACCTGAGCCTGGGGAGTGGAGGCTGCAGTGTACTATGATGACTGCGCTTTTGAAAACTATGGGCAGTAAGCAATGAAATGCTAGCTCAGAAAAGCAAATGGGCATGGGTCGTAGGATTGGGAGGACTTCCCAGAGGAGGCAGGCAGATGGAAAATGGTTGCCATCAGAACTAGAGGGTTCCCACGAGGTCTTCACCCCCAAACTCCTCATTGTATAGCTGGAAAAAACAAGCCTCAGAGAGAGGCAAGGACTTTGAAAAGAAGATGAGGAGTGAGCCATGCGGATGTCTAGGAGAGGAGTGTTCCGGGCAGAGGGAACAGCCAGTGTGTGTGGAACAGAATGGGTGGGGCAAGCAGGCAGGAGGTCAGAGGGGAAAGAGGCATTGAGCACACAGGGCTGTAAAAGGCGCTGGGAAAGGACAATGAAAAGTCTGAAGAGCAGGACTGATGTTAGCACTCTGATCTCTTGCCCCCTCCCCCCGCCTTCACACCCCCCCCACCCCCGCATTCCAGCTTTTTACTCTCTCCTTTCAACCTCTTGTAACCAAGCCCCTTCACACCCCTTGCCTTACTTGTCCAAGCAGCCTTTGTATGCATGGAATTAGTACTGCCCCATTTCACAGCTGCAGACTGAGGCCAGGAGAAGGGCAGTGCCTCCTCACACAGCGAGCCAGGAGTGCCCGGTGTCCATGCTATTTCTGAACGCTGAAATTGTGGCCCCAGAAGCCCCAGCAGCAGCTCTGCGTTGCCTAGGCTTTGGCTGCCTTCAACTACCAGAGGCAGAGCTAATTTTTCCTGCCGCCACCTGGTGTGGGAAGGAGGGAGATTCATTAAGGATTCCTCACTGAGGGTGAATTTGTCGCCAAACCCAGGATGTTTTGTATAAACACCTTCTGGTTCAGAAATGCAGACACAGGCCCGAGGAGGAAAGGGGGATGTTTGCCAAAGGAGAAATGGGGCTCACCAGGCATCCCTCGGCCTGAACCCCAGCACTGGGTCTTCTCTACCTTGGGACCCACAGAGGCCTGGACCAGGTTGACCCTTGACCTCTACCAGATGGGCCTGGATGGCGAGGGGCTGAGGGAGGTGCCCACATTAGCAGCTTTTTGGCGGTGACTGGCCCTTAGAGGCCAGCCCTGGCCACTGGAAATGTTGGGGAGGGGAATCAGTCATTTCCAAGATTTTGAAATGATCAGACCCAGAAAGACTCTTGGAGAGAACTTCAGTTTCAGAACCATTTATTTCACAAATATTTATCAACTTCCCAGGCCCTGTGATAGAGAGCCTGTGATGAGCAAAACTGGACATGGTCCCTGCCCTCAGGAATCTCCCAGTCTGGTGAGAGAAACAGTCGACCTACAAACAAGTAAATATATCATATGTCAGGTGGTGAAAAGTGCTACAAAAGATAAAAATAGCAGCCTGATGTGGCGGCTCACACCTGTAATCCCAGCACTTTGGGAGGCCAAAGTGGAGAGTCACTTGAACTCAGGAGTTCGAGACTAGCCTGGGCAACATAGCAAGACCCCCATCCTCACCAAAAAATAAAAATAAAACTAGCCAGATGTGGTGGCATGCTGCCGTTGTCTCAGTTACTCAGGAGGCTGAAGTGGGAGGATCACTTGAGCCCAGGAGTTCAAGGCTGCAGTGAGCTACAATCATGCCACTGTAGCCCAACCTGGATGACAGAGTCTTTTCTTTCTCTAAAAAAGAAAAGAAAGAGGGAGAAAGAAAAATAAAGAAAAAGGAAGGGAGGGAGGGAGGGAGGGAGAGAGGGAGGGGAAGGGAAGGGAAAGGAGAAAAACGAAAAGAAAAGCTAGCACAGGACAAGGTGATAATGGAGGGGCTATTCGAGATGAGATGGTCAGAGAGGGTGTCTCTGAGGAGATGGCATTTGAACAGCAGTGTGGAGGAGATGAGGGGGTGAGCCATGTGGATATCTAGGGGAAGAGCCTTCCAGGCAGAGGGAACAGCCAGAGTATTGGAATAAATTGAGCCAGGGGGAGAGGGTAGGACAGAGGGAAGGAGGCACTGAGCACGCAGGGCTGTAGAAGGTGCTGGCAGTGCCCCACCCAAAACCCATGAGGGCGTCCCCCGAGGTCTCCTGCAGACACTGCTGCACATGCCCGTGGCCTCCTGCTTCTCTCTGCCCATGGATGCAGGCTGAGAGGGGCAGGCAGTGAGTTAATATCCATGAGTGTGAACTCCTACCAAGAAAAGAGAGGCATTAGTCACTGCACACTCCAGCTTCTTTGCCCCTCTGTGGGAGACCCAAGAGGAGGCTGCTATAATCATCCAGGTAGGAGAGGGTGGCCACCACAGCAGGAGACAGCAGTGGGGAGGGTGACTAGTGGTGGGATTCTCAGGGCCTTGCACACACTCCCTCATCAGTCTGGAGTAATTTTCTCCCATGCCTTTATTCCATATTTCCCACTCCTCAGCTTGGGGTTACCTCCTCTCAAGAGACCTTTCTGGGCCCCCAGTTTTTAGACTTCCCTCGTCTCTGCCCTTCCCACACCACCTTTGTTCTCTAAACACCTCGCTCTGTAGTGATGATCTCCTCAGGGCAGACACCTTGTCTGTCTTGCTCACTGGAAAAGTGTCCCCCTGTCTGGGTCATCACCCACCTTCCTGCTGCTGCTCAAACAAGCCAGGCATGGTCCTGCCTCAGGGCCTTTGCACTGGCTACTGCCTCAGCCTGCACTTTTCCCTGACATCTACATGGTTCCTTCCCTCACCTCCTCCCAGTCTTTTCTTTTTTCTTTTTTGAGACGGAGTCGTACTCTGTTACCCAGGCTGGAGTGCAGTGGCACGATCTTGGCTTACTGCAACCTCCGCCTCTCAGGTTCAAGTGATTCTCCTGCCTCAGCCTCTTGAGTAGCTGGGACTACAGGCGTGCACCACCATGCCCAGCTAATTGTTGTAATATTTTAGTAAAGATGGGGGTCCCACCATGTTGGCCAGGCTGGTCTCAAACTCCTGACTTCAGGTGATCCGCCTGCCTCAGCCTCCCAAAGTGCTGGGATTACAGGTGTGGATCACCACGCCTGGCCCAGTCTTTTCTTAAGTGGCACCTTCTTAATGGAGCCTGCCCTGACCACATGTTTAAAAATGCAACTCCTGCCCCTGCCCCTCCCACTACTCCTGATCCACTTCCTCTGCTCTAGTTTTTCTTCCTTCTATCATCACTTTTGTCACCTCCCAGCATGCCATATGATTTACTTATGATTATCATTAATCTCCCTCTGCTAGAAGGGAGGCTCCTTGAGGGCAGGAATCTTTCATTCATTTCTTCACTGAGGTCTCCCAAAAGTCTAGAACAGCACCTGGCCCACAGTAGGTGCTTGCTAACCAATTTTGAATGAATGAATGAGGAGAAGGGTCAGAATTCAACGTAAGGCAGATTCTGAGGCCAGGCTCTTAATGGTGAGGGCTGGGATAATGCCTTATCCACCAAAGTAAGGGGACTGGGTTTTGTTCTCAGATCCTGGGAAGCTGCTGGAGGGTGCTGAGCAGGCACAGATATGATTGGGTTTACCTTGTGCAAGCCCCCTGTGGCTCTGGTGATAGGATGGGTGAAGAGGGGCAAGTGCAGTACAGTCCCCTGAGATATGTGTGTGTGTTGGGGGTGGGAGGCGAAAATGGGAACTTGGGGAGGCGACAGGGCTGGAGCTGCACTGAGAGCAGTGAGAGAACCCCTTTAATGTCTGGATTCTCCAAGCTGCCTGGGTGGCTGCCCTATCAGCTCTGGCTGGGCCTCTCAGCTGCTGACAACATGCTCCTGTCCTGCAGATGGGCTGTGTGCTCGCCTGGGTGGTCCCCAGCTCCTCCCTCCACTTCCTTTGCACCCTTGTGGGCTTGGCGGGTGGAAGAGAGGCTCCCACCCTGTCTCCTCCCCTGATGTAGAGAATAATCCCTTACATTCATGTGATTCTCCTCCTGCCCTCATTCATCCTCCCACATCCGGGGGTAACAAAAAATCTGAATCCCATTGGGCAGATGAGGACATTGAGGTCAGGAAAGGGGATGGGACCCTCCCAAGGTCATGCAGCCAGATGGGGACACCAGGTGGGGACATGTCTCCCAAATCCCCACGCCTCCATTTTCACTAGGCAACAGATGGTCCATGGCTTGACTTGAAAAATCTTAAGTGATCCCAAAGAGAGTGCAAGCCCAGAACATTCCATCCCTCCTTGAGCTGTTTTTTACTACTACCTTTTAATACAAAATACATCCACTTTGAATTCCATAAATGGATTCTTCTTATGGAAACTGAAAACATTACAGAGAGACTAAACTCTTTTTTGAACCCTCTCCTCCTCTTCTC